GGAGGAAGTTGGTGACCCATGACGGAGCAGTGTGGGGAACGCTGCGGCCCATGGGAGGAATTCAAGTCAGAGAAAGTTTGTGGAGGACTGTCTCCTGTGAGAGGGGGACCACGATGGAGCAGGAGGAACAAGTTCCAGACACTCCCCTCGCCGAAGATGAAGGAATTGGCAGCGCTGACAGCACCCCCCATTCCCTGCCCCTGTGCCCCTGGGGGAGGAGGTAGAGATATCGGGAGCAGAGCTGAGCCCGGGAAGAAGGGAGGGGTGGGGGGAAGGTGTTCTCAAGATGTGGCAATGCTTCTCACTGTCCTACTCTGTTATGTGTTGTTAGTGTCTGTAATAAATGTCTGTTCTTTTTTTCTTCCCCTAACGAGTCTGCCTCTTGCTCGTGACCATAAAGGGTGATTTTCCCCCATCCCAGTCCTATCTTGAACCCCAAGCCTGGCCCTCTGTCCCTTCTCATTGCCGGAGGGGAAGGGAGAGAGAGGTGCTGCATTGTGGTTGGCTGCCAACCAGGCCCAAACCACGACACATAGCATCCCCTAGTAGGCTTTTAATTCAGACGTGTTGTTTGGCTGTTCTCAGGCTGGAGCAAGTCAGGACTAGCTGCCACATGACAAGGAAATGCTAGGGAGCTTGTCGTAAAAACAGCGCGAGAGAAATGTGAAGGTCTGATGTAAAGAAAAGCTGAAAGCTAACCTGTAACTTTACTGTTGTTCACATTATTTGAAGGTTGGATGTCCCATTTTGTATTCTGGTGATTAGAGAGCAATTCTCAGATTTCATAAGAGCCCGAACAACGTTATTACAACAATTATTGCATTGCTTCATTTTAAACCTCCTTTACTATCATATTTAGCAATATTTTTAAAGCAGATTAGCCACCTGGATAATATACAGGACTGGCTTTTTCTTTGTTTTAAACATTGAAAAGCAGTCGGATGATCAGAGCTTGCAACACTGGGGTGACTCCTCCAGCGTTCCACCTCCAGATGTGCAAGATGGAGCTGCTTTTGTCAGTGGAAGTGTCTTGGAAGAGCTGGGCACTTCCCCTTTCCTTAGCTGGTTTACTTCGATCGCTGTTTCGACGGCTGTCACTAGCGGGGAGAGGGAGGAAAGGAGCTACTTGAGAACTGACTTTGAAAAAGCTCATTCCTTTTGTCCTCTGTCCTCAAGTTCCTCCCATGATGTTGACAGGTAACCTGGAGTTACACACCTTGCCTGGCCGATCCTGGCTATAGGCTTCGGTCTAGTCTAGTGCCTTTAGTTTTCACATGCAGCCTGCTGGCTCTCTCTGTTTGTGTGTCGGCGTATGGGTAATATCTTGGTTGCTCAACTTGGCTTCCCAGCTCTTACTCATTATGCAGATTGTTGGTTTGCATTTCTAATTAACTGAAGTACTGCTGCATGTTATGAGAGTTTTCTCAGTACTCGGAGTTGTAGGAGCCTTGATGGAGGGATGTGTATCGCTGTGCTGGAGAGTCGGGACATGTATGAAGTGCAGAATTTGTCTTTAGGCATTTAGGAGTTAATTTGCTGTCCCTCAAAGGAGAGGCAGTCTGGTGCAAAATCTGGAAGGCTAGGTGGTGCGTCTGTTAGGCAAAGGTTATAATCTATTTCCTTCTGAAACACAAGTAAAATAAAAAATCTACAGAAATGTATGCAAGCCTTTGTGTATCCAAATAAGATTGATTTCCTATGAAACTCAGCTGCCTAGTGCCCTGTAGTTCCCCTTTTGGGAACCCAGGAACCTGTGAAAATGTTTAGAATACGTGTCACTAGTTTCCGTGTGAATCCTGGACCACAGGAGCAGGGAATAAGGTTCATTTGTCTGAACAAGTTTGAGGCCTGGTGCCAGTTTTCCAGTTTCCAGGTTCTCTGTTGCTTCTACGCTGGAGCGTAGGCAAGCCGAGCGAGCGGAGGCTTGGCTGCAGAACGGCAAAGCCCCCGTGGTGGTGATGGTCCGAGGGGGCGATGGGGCACGTGTCTGCTCTGCCTTGTGCCGCGGCTGAACCCAGGGGAAGCAGAGGGTTCTCTCAGCACCTTCTGAGACGTGAGTGTCAGTACCAGCCTTCTCCGGTTAAGCTGGGAGAAAAATCGGATTTGGAAAAATAGCGACTGTTGCGTTGAATATGCTGGTAGACTTTACAGAAATACAGAAATTCCCTGGCTGCGCTAAAGAAATCTGGAGTGCCCAGAAGAGCAGCTTTCTGCGGCATCTAGGCTGAAGGCTTCCTCATCTCTGAGGGAAGTCTCCTCCCAAAGCATGTCTCTGTTTTGGTCAGATGGAAAGCACAACATGTTGCTTTGGCCGTTTTTTTTGAACATTAAAAAGGAGAGGCCTAAACTTTGAGGCATTTTAACTGTTAACGATTCTTACTTCCATCTGGAGGCAGGGATCTAAAAACGTGCAGAAAAAAGGGCAATAAACGTTAGAATTTAGGGGACTTTTTTTCTCTAAGTGGATCAACCAGATGTCCTATCCTTGCAGTCACCTTGCATTTCTCTGCTACAGTTTGGTAACTCTGGCTCCCTTTTACCTACCTGAGAAGCAGCAGCTGAAAAACAGATGATTAAGACTCCTCGGAAACCTTTGGCACACCCCTTATTTAAGGAGCAGCTCGGCCCATTTTGTGGTTACACCCACCCTCACACGCAGGCTCTTAGTACTGAACTGGGTGCACTGCCAGTGTGGGTTTGTGCACCGCGTTAGGTGGGCCTTGTATTAAAGGCAGCAGAAATGGGGAAATAAAAGAAACAAACTTCCACAGTGGAAGAAGTTTTCTGCTCTTCAGCATTTTCATAGTTTATCACTGTCGTATTGCTTATTTTAGGTTACTGTCTTTCTCTGTAATAACCACAAAAACGGGCCAGAGTTCCACTTTTACATCCAGAGCTGGATGTAAGTCTGTGCTGAGAGTCCTGGGGACCTGGATGTTAGCTGTGCTGGGGACATTCATTTGGAAGAGGCAGGACTGGGCTGCAGAGTTCCGTGCTGAATTTGTCCCTAATGTACCGAAAGCTCAGGAGCACAGATTCCCGTGGGCCCCTGCCTGGTGGGAGATCACAGCTGATTTACAAACCATCTTCTCCGGGCGTTCAGCTCTGGTCACTGCATTAATTGCTGCGCTACGTCAACAGGCTGAGAGAAACATTTTCGGACTCCTCACACATTTCTTTAAGCCGCTGCTGAAGTGGTGACTATTTTAGCAGCTAAGAATTCAGTATATTTCCTTTTACTAAAGTAGCTAAATTAATCCTCTTAAACACTGTATGTGTGTGGAGAGAGAGGAATTAATTCCTGAGTAGCAATTAATCCCGAGAGGAAGACGCAGTTTGAGAAGACGTTGATTTACAGGCCAGTTTGGAATCGGCTGGAAGCTGCTCAGGGATTAGTTCAGTTTTCAGTTGTCAAAGGGAGGTGCAGGTCCGGGAGGTCTGCAGCATGGCTAGTGGGGAAGGCACCGCCAGTGGCAGCTGCTGAATAAGACACAGAGCTCATACAGCTGCCTGTGTGGCAGGAGAATCCCACCGGCCGGTGTAATTAACGCGCAGTAATCTCAAACCAGTTTGAAAATACCAGGCCGCGTGGGGCGACCCGCGTGACTGCGTTAGGCTGCTGTGAACGTTCGATTTCTAGGAACCGCAGTCCAGGGGCGATCAGAGCGCCTGGCACGCGTGCCGAGGCCCAGGGCTGGCAGGGGGGCTGGGAGCAAGGGCCGCGGGTGTGTTGGGAGCGCGGTGCGGGGGTCCCGGCTCCCCGGCCCCGCCGGGGCAGGGGGCAGCGGGACGGGGGGAGCCCCGGGGGGCTGCGGGGCCGGCGGACGGCAGCGAGCCGTGGTGCCGTCCCCGGGGCCGTGTCCCCAGCGCCGCGGCGGGGGCCGAGGGAACGTGCTGTCCGAGAAGCGCTGCCGAGGGCTGGGGTCAGCTTAACTGATGTTTTGAACAGGCTGCGCAGAGTTGGAGTCAATAATGGGTTGCTGTCTCTTTTGTGTCTCAAGGCAGCGAAACAAATTCCCGGATTTTGGATTCGAACGCGGTTTCTCTGTAGGCACAGTCCGCTCGGACGTCCCTGGGGGATCGCCGAGGGAGCGCGCCGCGAGCGGGGCGGTGAGCCGCGTGGGGAGGGATTGTCAGGGCAGGGGGGCTCGGCAGCGTCCCGTGGCTGGGACTGGGAAGGGTGGGTGTGCCACCACGGGGGACGTTTGTGGGAGCCCCCCGCCGGCGGGGGGGGAGGGCAGGGCTGAACGCGGCGCGGCTCTGGGGTGCCCTTTGCAGTCCCGGGGCTTCGGCTGGGCCGGGCGAGGGGGCAGCTCTGGGGGGAGCCCGGGGTATGGCCGACCGCGTCCCCCACCGAGGGCCCCGCTGGGAGCGGGGAGGAAGGACGGGGGAGCGGTGCGGTGGCTGGGGAAGTAGTGTGGGAGGGATGGGGAGGGAGAGGGAGGGAGCGTGTCCTCCTTCCCCCCGTCAGGTGCGGTTCCTCCTCTTCCCTGCCCTGCAACGCGCCGGCCGAGCTGACACCCAGCGTAAGAATTACTGACATGCAGAGTCAACAGCTCTGGGCTTTAGTCGCCAATAAAGCTAAATTGGCCTTAGAAGCAGCCGTAGGCAGTAAGCTGCTTAAATCTTAACAAGTAAGTTTTTTTGTTTAAAGCAGACAGAAGTAAGTTTTCTTGTTTAAAGCAGACAGAATTCCTCTGTAGATTGTCTTAAGTCATATGAACTTCTTACATGATACGGTATTTTAATTCATAGGCTACGGTTTGTCTGCATTCTGTGAGGTGGACATGATTTAGTGACCAAATCAGAAAAACCTCTGTTCTCGTTGGCTTTGCAGAGCCAGCGCAGCCACACAAACGGATCATTGTTAGCTTTATGCACCGTCGATGCTCTTCTTGTGTTCGGGCCGCCGTGGCTGTGAAGTCACCCGAGTGACTCCGAGGCAATACCGATCGCTGCGGCGCCGTGGCTTCTGACCTATCAAGGCTAAGCAGCAAGAATAAATAGGGAAATCCATTTTTATTAAGTATTCATGTTACTGTACAACCACCCTTTCGTTTTCCGCAGCAGAAGTAAAGCAGATTATTTGTAAAGTTCTCTGTGAATATGCAGAGGCTGTAGAACATGAAGCTGCAGAATCAAGGTTCGGTAGCAGATGTTCGCGTGTCCAGTTCAGTTTTGGGGTTTGTATGAGCTGTTTTCTGAAATGTCTGTACTCTCCTGCATAACACCTTCTCTACAAATGGTTTGCACAAGAACATGTATATCAGGGGGTCCATGCAGACGTTTGTGGCAGCCAGCCACAGGGTGCTTTCTTTCGCAACAAAGAGCTGGTTCTGCAGCCGGCAGTCCATCCGGGTGGTGGTTTGACTCAGAGTGTAGGGAACCCTGCTAAAATGAAAGGGGGCAAAGCACAAGAAAAACACAGTAAAAATGATGAACACTTTCCCCTTGATCCTTTGCTCGCTTCTGTTGTCTTTCTTCTGTGTTTTTATATAAGACTCGTATACCTTTTTGGCAATAACTATGTAAAATAGAAACATGAAGATGAGAACAGTCCAGAAGATGAACTGGCAGATATAATTGACAGCTTCATGCCATTTGAGTCCGAAGTAATTCTTCAACGAGGCACACTTCTTCACAGATTGGGGTGTTGCTTTCTTGTTCGACAGGATCATGTTAGGCAGAGAGAGAACAAAGAAGAAGAGCCAGACCAGACCCACAAGGATCTTTGCTGAGGTCAGGTTTTGCACCCAGAACTTCCCAAAAGGTCTCACGATCTTGAGAAATCTGTCCAGAGCAATGAGGCCAAGTAGCACTATGCTAATATACATGGTGTCATAAAATACTACGGCTGAGAAGCGACAGACAAAGGCTTTGAGTTGCCACGGTCCCAGGCCAGAATCCGTCAGGATTTTCAGAGGAAGCATCAGGGTCATTATAAAATCAGAAACCAGGATATTTTTCAGGTAGATGATAAAAGTTGATGTGCTCGGAATGTGGAAGAACGCCCAAAAGGCCAGGCTGTTCAGTGTGAGTCCCAGAAGGAAGACGAGAGTGTACAGTACGGGGAAGACCAGGTGGGTGACTGTGGTGTCTCGGTGGCACAGCGCGGAGGAGGGTGCTCCACTGGAGTTACTGCCAGTGCTCTCATTTGCAAAGTTGCCCATTGTTTGAGATTGACTTGGGTGAAAAGGAGAGAAAACATAAAACAAAGCATTCCGTACTTAAAATTGTATGTTCCTTCCAGTGACTGGTACGTTTACACAAATAGACACAAAAAACCTGAACGTGCATTAGACCGACCGATTTCTGTTCTTGTTCATAGAAAATCTAGATCTTTGCCTAAGTTTAAGCTGTTCACAAACCGACATCTAATGAAAAGTTAAAATGGTATAGAACCATTATGGAGGCCTAAGATAATATAGTTAGCAAGGTGTAACAGCAGACTGCCTAGAGTACCATTTGACTTTACATGGAAATGCATTTTAACATCGAATAGAAATTGTACAGTTGTAGCCCAAAAGCAAGGCGCTTCTGAGGAAGCGACTTCTGGTATTTCTTACCAAGCACACACCATTTTTCCTTTCTCAGCACAGATGTAAATAACATTTTCAAGGTAAGATGCACACTGCTGGTCATCAGGCTCTTACATCGGAAAGCCAGATGACCGCGTGCCCCATCCCGCCACGTGAACGCTCCGATCGTGGGAGTACCTGAGCAAGCCCGGCAGCAGGTGTTTCAGAGAGGGGTCTTTGGCTCTCCCCGGTTCACCCGCTGTTCCTCTGCTGACAGAAGCCTTGAGCAAAGTATTAGGAATGGGGAAATGTGTAGAAAGATGAGACTTTTTCTGTTGGTGTGGTGTGTTGTTTCCTTCCTCGTTTTCATGTATCCAAGTTAGTTAATCATGTTTGCTGTTGCTTTTCTCTCTTCCTTTTGCTCTCTGTCAGAAAGCACATTGCCTTCTCTTGTCCTAACAAAGTCAAAAATGACCATATCCATCAAGACGGGCACATTTTCTGGCATTTTGTTAGTGTGGGGCAGACCTGATGGCACCTACACTGCGCCATTACTATTTGGCTCCTTTAGAGATGTGGGGTGAACCAACACAGAGTGTCTCCTGACAGTTTTCCAGGATAATCCTCAAATGGGGCTCTGCTTTCTTGTTTGTGCGTGTGAATTCCCCTGTCCTGGACAGCTCTAGTTGTCGAGTTCGTGACCAGCAAGTCTGCTCAGAGGCACCCTCACCATGGCTTACTCAGCTGCAAAATCAGGTGCAGCTACATACTCAGAAACTCTACCCTCCCTCTGTAGCCTGTTAATATTGTCATGTGAACCTGAGCTTGACTTTTGGTCTCCAGAATGGGATTTCTGGTTTATTTTGGCATCAGCTGCTGCTGCGTGGTATGCTCTGTATTTATTATGTGTTTGCTATGTATAATGTTGGAATCTAGTGCGTTTCTCCGCAAACAGAACTTTTTTGCATGAGTTTAACCGAGTTGTGTGATTTGTCTTGTGTTTTCCTGTCAGCTGATGTGACGTGAGGTTCTGGCTCCTCGCTTGCTGCCGTGTGGGAGGTGGCTCACCTTCAGGCCCTCCCTCCGTTTGCCGCAGACCTGCTTTTTGAGGTTCTCGGGCTGCAGCTGTATTGACAATAACTTTGTGCATTAGTATGTACATTCTGGTTAATGTAGGTGTGCGTGCTGATGCCGGTGTCAGAGGGCGAGCAGAGAGCAAAGAGCCTCGAGGATGACTGGGAGGAAGGTCACCCTCGCCACTGTCATCGGCGTGACGTGTCCCTAGCAGCCTGACCCGGCTCCTGTTCGTTCATGGAGGACTGGACGAAGCTGAGGTGTAAGGGCTGATGTCCGAGGCACCGTCTTCCACGTTTTCTTCCGCTGTGCCCCGCGGACGCTGCTGCCAGCCGTCAGGGGCAGGCTCGAGGTGCCTCCGCGGGTCCCACCCGCGGCTGCGCCGTGGGGCGCGGGAGGCGGCGGTGTCTCTGCTGGGAGGAGCCCCTCTCCCCCCGTGTGTAGGTCCAAAACGGGGGGGGGAAGGGGCGCTGGGTGGCAGTGGGCACTGTCGGCTGCCGTGCGGCCCCTCGCTGGCTGCGATCAGTGGGGTGCATATACCAGCATAAGCAGCGCACCAAACGGTTTGTAAAACACTTAGTTTGTTCAGGCAGGTTCTGAGAGATGCATAAATTCCAAGGCTGAATGTTAAAGTAAGCGAACCGTCTTTTAACTTTTTGGACAGTATGATATCCTTTGTAAAACTGCCCGGTGCCCTGCCAGGCTCAGGTGAGTACCGGAGACGGGGAGACAGGCAGTGGCTTTGGGCAGGACTGAGCTCTTGCGTGATGGCGAACCGTATTCCTGCACTGGAGCTGGTTTGCAGTGATAGTAAATGAACCAGAATTTATTACAGTACTCTAGGGTCTCTTTCATGTGTGGTGGTTATGATATTTGAAAATGTTATGTACCTGAAAACAAGTTCCTGTTTTGTTTTGTTTTTTCAACTTTTCCAGATGAAAAAAGGTAAATGATTACATTTTTCGTATGGTGCAAAAGAGCTGCCCTTAGTAATCAGTAACGATTTTACCATGAGTCTTTCCTTCCCTAAGATCTAAGCATTATGTAAATTGAGTCTGTATCTTTTCCAATACAATATATTGTTCTCTATAAAATTGGACATTTTTGTTGACTCATATAGTAAGGTGAAGTATTTGAAGATTTAATTCACATCAAGATAAGCCTGATTATGAAATCATTTCCTCTGACATACAACTGTTAATTATTGGTCAATGAATGAAGGATTCCAAGCATATAATGACATAAGCAAAATGTTATTCTGTTACCAAAAATCTGCAGAGATAAATAGCGTATCTGCGTATGTCCTGTATTTCAGCCAGTTGCATACAAGATGACAACTCCCCGTATTTAAAAAAAAGCCACAGTGTGGGTTTTACTTGCATTTCCCAGATCTTGTGTTGCCATGGACTTTACTCTGGCCCAAGTTTAAGCCATTTCTGCAAAATCTTTGCAGGTCACAATATCATCTGTAGCATTACAAGACTGTTTAATTTTTTTTCTTACAGCTCCAACTATAATTTCAAACTTTTTCCTAGTAACTCTGACAGTCATGGAGGCTGTGAGCAGGTGGTGCTGTTGTTTTATTCAGGATTTCTAGTTTCACCATTTTTGCGAACAGTGACGGTTCCAGGGTGCCTGTGCTTCATCTGTAGGACAATTTCTAAAGAAGTTGGTGAAATTCTAGGTATTCTTCCGCAGGATTTGTGCTTCTGCCCACCAATGAACGTGTGTGGCCCAGCAGGGGGTATGGGTAGGTCTTGGCTCTAGAACGGCGTCTCGTCTGTGTCATCTCCTTCATTCTGCTCCTTCATCTGTGCTCTGAGTTCTAACGATCCTCTGTGCTTGCACAGCATGTCTAGCAAGGACTTTCTAAATGATTTGCAAAGGAAAAAGTATATGAATGGATCTAGGCAAGCGTTTAGCGACGTCAGCCACAGCGTGCTCTCTTTCAAGTAAAACAAGGTGTTCTGAGCAGAGCATTCGAACACATCTCTTGTTTGGCTCAGGGTGTAGGGGATTCTGGTAAAGTGGAACGGCACAAAACAAATAAAGAACACTGCTATAATGATGAAAACCTTCAGATTTACAGGCTTTGTGGTCGCCTTTCCTGCGCATCTTGTCCTTTTATAGGATTTGTACAGTTCTTTACTTATGAGTATGTAGCATACAACTATGATTGCTAAATTAACCCAGAAGATAAGTTGACAAATATAGTTTACGATTTCGTGCCAGACTAAGCCAAACTCAGATTTCAAGACAGCACATTTTTTTACGTTCTCAGATGTTTTCTTCTTGTTCGTTAGAATCATGTTGGGTAATGAAAGAGCAAACATTGATATCCAAATTGCTGTGGACAGGATCTTGGCACCTAAAAGGCTTCTTGGTGTTGATGTTCTGAATGGCGAAGCAGCTTTCTGGTAGCGATCGATAGTTATTAGACCAAGAAACAAAATGCTAATGTACATGGTGAAGTAAAATACAACCTGGGTGACCTGGCACACAAATCCTCTCAGTACCCATGATACCAACTTTGCATCACTGAGGATTTTAAATGGAAAAGTCAAGATCATGAGGAGGTCAGAAATGACAGTGTTTTTGAGGAAAATGATGAAATTGGATTTGCTGGATATTTTAAAAAAGACCCACATTGCCAGGCCATTCATGGTGATACCCACCAGGAACAGAATTGTATAAAGCAAAGGAAAAATGACTTGACTGATTTTGTTGTCGCTGGTGCAGTTGCTGTCGTTTCTAGCGTAGCTGAAGTTAGTTGCAACTTTCATTGCACTTCGTCTTTTTCCCCCTCCCTGTAAAAACAAAAGACAGAAAAATGAAATTGTGAGTTATATCTGTCATGAGAATTCAAGCTCTCTAGTCCACTTTCAATTTTTGTGTTGGGAACATTTCTTTGGGGATTTTGACTGCTGTAAGGTGTGCTGTATTTCACCGAGGATGTCGGGTTTCTACAGGAGAAGAGCACTAGATGTAGCCATGTTTGTAAGGTGACCTGGTTTGATCTTTCGTGACTGAAATGCTGAGGTGACCTTCCATCCTGTTGTGGTTTGAGCCCAGAGGGCAACTGAGTACCACGCAGCTGCTCACTCATCCCTTGCCCCTCAGGAGAGGGAAGGAGAAAACAAAGCAAAAGGCTTGGGCATTGAGCTAAGGACAGGGAGGGATGACTCACCCATTACAGTCACGGGCAAAAGTCAGACTTGTTAGGGGAAGAGAAAAGAACATAAATTTAATTCAAACACTAACAACACTACTTAACAGAGTAGGACAGTGAGAATCATTACCACATCTTAAAAACACCTTCACCCTACCCCTCCCTTCTTCCCAGGCTCAGATTTTCTCCTGATTTCTCTACCTCCATGTGGGGAGGGTGCAGGGACAGAGGGAATGGGGGGGGCGTGGCCAGTCCTGCTGCTTCTTCCTCCTCGGGAGGACTCCTTGCACTCTTCCCCTGCTCCATGCAGCTCCCCTCTCACTGGAGACAGTCCTCCATGAACTTTCTCTGGCGTGAGTGCTCCCCATGGGATGCAGCCGTCCCTGAGCTGCTCTGGCATGGGTCACCCCACGTGTTGCAGTCCTCCCAGTGCTGAACTGCAACAGCGGGGGCTGCTTCTTCCCCCAGAGTCCCGCCCTCCTTCGTTTTAATTCACCTGCTCCAGTGTGGGCTCCTCCACAAGCTGCAGGTGGGCATCCGCCCCACCACAGACCTCCGTGGTGGTGGGGGACAGCCTGCCATCTCACCATGGGATACAGGGCAGGGTGCACCAGCACACCTCCCCACCTTCCTCCTCCTTTCTTCCACTGACCGGTGTTTGCAGAGGGGTCTCCCTCGCAACTCCTCCTCACAACTCCCTCTCCTCTTCCCAGGTTCCCCTTCTTAAATACGGTATTGCAGAGGCACTGCTAATTGGCTCGGCCTTGCTGCAGAGGTGGGTCCGACTTGGAACTGGGGGAGCTTCGAGAAGCTTCTCGCGGGGGGCCACCTCTGCAGCCCCCTTCCCCGTTACCAAAAACCCCGCCACAGGTCACAAACCCAGCACACCTCTTGACCTCCTGAGCTTCCATCAAACCCCCTGAGCTTCCCACACAGCTTCCTCGAGCCCTGCGCCGCGGGGCCGGCACGGCGGTGGGCTGCGCTGCCCGTTCCCCGGCGGCGGTGGCGGCGCAGGCTGCGGCGGGGGGCCGGGGGTCCTGACGGGGATCTTTGTTGTATTTCTGCTTGCCCGACCGTCTGTCTCTCCCAGCGGCGTTATTTCAGCCTTGCTTTTGGTTGTCCTTGAGGCTGATCTCTGCCTCCCCCTCCCTGCCCAGAGCCCGGGAACAGCTGCTCCCAGGCCGCCGCCGTTTCACCCCGGGCGCTCCAAGGGTGGGTGTCACACTCCACAAAGTCACTGCTTGTTGCTGCCAAGGGGGGAAAAAATGAGAGAGGAGTAGCTGCTCTTCAACCCAAATTATTAGCGCTGGGACAACTAGTGGTGCCTGTTACTTCAGTGCGAGCAAAGTCTGAAGTTATTTGTAGCTTTATTGATGTAGGTATTGATGTGTACCTTTACTTCTAGTTGGAGAGTTTATCCTCTCCTTTTCTTAAATCACTTGTTTTACCGGTGCTGTGTTGCAAATAAATCTGACACTTTGCTGCCCCGAGCCGGCGCGCAGGAGCTGCGCAGGCGTTGCAGCCCCCCGTGCTCTGCCCCGGGCACCCGCGTGCCGTCGCTGCCGAGACCCCTGCGCCGCGCTGGCCCCCAGCCAGGCACCCCCAGGCACCCCCAGGCACCCCCAGCGCCCGGCTCGCGGCGGCTGGGCTGGACCCTTCATCCAAAAACCTTGATCGGATCAGGTCTGATCCGGACTGGTCGCCTGGGAAAGCCGGGCAGGGATGTTGAGTCGGTCGGTGTTGTGTTTCAAAAGGAGTGACTTTCAGATGTGTAGCGATGCAATTGTAACGACTGCTCTATTTCTGTATGATCTTTGTAAAATAAGGCGCGCGGGGAGTTGATGCTTTGTCAGCCAATGCCCAGACATCCCCGACTTCTTCCTTACAGAGCTGTGAAGTTCTATTTCTATCTGCAAGATAGTGATAAATTGGCTTATGCTTTGAAGCGCGTACCAGATTCAGCTGCCAAGTCTAATCCTAATGAAGTAAGTGTTCCCCGAGCATGCAAAATCAGACAGCTCCCCCCTGCCCCAAAATCAAGGAGGAGATTACCGTAGCGCGCTGTTGAGAAGCGATGACCCGCTGGGGTGTTGCTGAGCGAGGGTCCGTGGCGGTTCCTCTAGCTCTGCGCCGTGGGGGCAGGCAGGAGCGGTCCCGCGTAAATCCCACGGAGCGAGGAGGGGCTGGAGGAGCAGCGCTGCATCCCAGTCCTGCCACAGACCTTCCGCTGGCTCTGAGCTGGTTTCTTAGCCAGAGACAGCTGCCGGTTCCAGGTGACGCTCTCAGTGCTTCTGCTTTTGTTTCCTCTAGAACAGAGAGAAATAGAATTTTTAAAAATAACTGGAGGTTTACTTCCTGCTTCTGACCTACTAGCAGAATCACTATTTTTAAAAGAGAGCATGTATTTTGTAAGACTGTGCAATTCTGAGGGTAGAGTTGCACACCCATCTACTACATTTTTGCCTTGTGATTCTTTAGTATTACTTTTGTACACAGCCTTATTTTTAAAAAGCTTATTAAGTGGTTGAAAGGAGTAGTGATTGGTTAGCTTGGGGAAGGTAAGTATGTTACTGATCAAAATGTTTATACCTTACGTGGCTTGCAGAGCAGTGCTCCAAGTTTTTAAGTTACATACAGTGCATCAATATTATATGATACGTTTTAGTAAAAGACTAAGTATAACCAGTTACAATTTAAATAAAGGATACATATTTCAATTCCTTTGGGATGTGCAAAATATGATTTTAGGAGTTAGGCTGCATATTTTTTCCAATGGATTTTTACACAATAAGAGGAATGTCACACAGTTTCTAGACATCTGTCTTCTGTTTACTAATCTGCCAGTGAATAGCAGTCCAGGGGACAGTTGGGAGGGTTGTCCGTATGCGCCCTCCTTACAGGTACGTACAGAATTCATAATACCAGATTACATTCCCCCCTCCCCCCGTATTTTTAGCATGCTCTTTCGCGATTTCATTTGGCACCGTTTCCTCCGCACTGGTAACTGCGAGAGATGCTTGTTGTGGCAGAGGTAGTTGTTGTTTGTTGCAGTCTGGGCTACTCGGCTCGGGTTTCTGCAGGTGACGACAGAAAAAAGAGAAGAGGCTTCATTCGTATCTGGTCTTTTCAGGATGAATCTTCAAGTCATGAGTGTAACCAGCGCATGATTCTCCTTTATGGCGTCGGTAAGGAGCGCGACGAAGCGAGGCATCAGCTGAAGAAGATTACCAAAGACATCCTCAAAATTCTGAACAAGAAGAGTACTACTGAAATGGGTGGTAAGCGCTTTAACGCTGCTGGGCGGTCGCCTGCCGCGAGGCTCAGGGGTGCTTGCCAAGCCCTGCCGAGGCTCGGGCGGCCGGGCTGCGCCGTGCCGGGGGCCGCCAGTGGCACCGGCTGTGTCACCGCCGCCCTTTGCCGCGGGGGCCACCCCGTCCCACGGCGATAACCCCCAAGGAGCGCTGGTATCGTTACGTGCTGCGACGCGTGTTTGTCCCGAGCGTGGTGGGAAACTGAGGCAAGCAGGGTTTTTCACGTAGTCGTGAGTAAAGCTTATTAAGATTCTTATTGTCTTTTAAATCAGTAATAATGCTGATCACCCCCTACGAGGGCTCCGTTAAATGTAAAATGACCAAAATCATTTTGTATCTCTTAAGTTGGGGATGAAGGGCAAAAAGCCAGGAAGACCAAGCAAGAAGCATTTCCAACCCTGGAGACCGTGTTCACAAAACTACAGCAACTGTCCTATTTTGACCAACATCAGGTGACGTCTCAGGTACTGCCCGTGTAGAAAATCGTAGCCTTTTGCACTCTGCTGTGAAGGTGGCACATGGGAAGCAAATCTAGGTTTTTGGAAGTGTTTTGTATATACCAAGAATTTTCAGTGCACTGCTTCTTCAGAGGCAAGAGAAAAAGTGCTGCCTTGATACTCTAAAATAGCTGCTTTGGTAGCTGTTGGGGTGTTTGGTTGGTTTGTCTGGGAGGTTTTGTTTGTTTTGCAAGAAGCTTTCTGGACTATTACAGATGTCATGACTTTTTAATGAAAAATTTAAAATAAATTTTACATAAATTTCCATTAATAGCATTGTTTAGGGCTCATTGGTAAATTAAGTACTTATTAACCAACCTCTTGCATATGCATAAGATCCATTGCAGTATCTGTGTTTATGAAGAACAGTGAACTCTTCTGTGTTTTTGTGCAACAAACTGAGTATGTCTCTTTGAGAAGCTGGTGGATAATACAGCTTGTTCTTTTCTGGATATTAGAATTCATAGTCAACCTTTACTGTTAAAAAGCTGTATCAGTGGCTGACTGGAGAACATAAATAATTTGTCTGAACTGACAAGCCCAGTTTTCCTGGTTTATATTAGGACTTTAAGTATCAGCATAGGATTTAATCACTTTGTCAGGTGTTACTGGTTTTAAGTCTATTTCAAGAACCAGAGGCTAACATAAGAAACAAAGTGAAAGAAGTACACGTTTGATACTTAATTTATAAGATATCTTTGGATCTGGTTGTTTGAATTAATTTATTACATGTTTTGTTTGCAGGGTAGCGTGTTATTAATTATCTGAAAACCATCAATAAAAAAGTCACGATGCAGTAAGATGAAAAGAAAAATTATTTTGCCTCTTCTTTAAAGCAAAACACCCCACAGAATAAAAATCAGTGTTATAGGTGTTAAGAAGAATTTGACTCTCAGCTGTAAAGCAGCAGAACAGAATTTTCTGTGTTGTCAGTTTTGAAAATAAGACGGCATTATGTCTGACTTGCAGGACAGTAGAGTAACAGACGTCCTCTTGCGTGATACGTTAGTGCTTTTATCTGCAAAATGCTGCCACTTGCTGTTACCACTTATAAACCAGGATTGTTGGAGCACTAATGTATCTGAGAAGCCCTCAGTCACCATGTGACTTTTCGACATTTATTTTCACAGATCTCCAGTAATGTTCTCGAGCAGATAACTAGTTTTGCCTCAGGAACATCGTATCATCTTCCCTTGGCTCACCATATACAGCTCATCTTTGATCTCATGGAGCCAGCGTTGAATATCAATGGACTTATAGACTTTGCAATACAGGTAGGTGGAGTTCATTTTGGGGGAGGTTATGTCAGGATAAAGCTGTGATACGTATTCTGTAAAACCAGGAAAAAAAAAATCATCCAGACTGCAAATCCTCCTGATTTTCTGCAATGTGCTTTTATCTGTTTCAGTTTTCTGACTTCTGAAACAGAGTTCCGGGTACTTCCCCTTCTGTCTTGCTTTGACAATTATGGAGAATCGATAGATGTATTTTATTTTAAAATCTTTCAAAATTAATAAACTTCTGGATTACTTTATCATAAAGTAACTTAGGGTGGGCTTCACTGTTTCAGACTGAACCATCACATTATGCAGTAAAGCATCTGGGTGCCAGAAGTGCCATGTATTTCTGAAGAGCAGTTCCGAGGGACGTTTCTAATAATTTATCAGTTTATTTTGCTCCCTCTTTCCCTTGTTCTGTAGTAAGGAATTTCATTTTTGTTCGCCGTATGTGTTTTTTCCTTAATGTTTTTTTTTTTTTTTTTTTTTTGCCCCTATTTTACATGTGTAACTTGGAAGTTATTTTCAGTTCGTTATTTCTGTGGATGCGTTTCCAGCTGCTGAACGAGCTGAGCGTCGTGGAGGCAGAGCTGCTGCTGAAGTCGTCCAGCCTGGCAGGAAGCTACACGACGGGGCTGTGCGTCTGCATCGTCGCCGTGCTGCGGCGCTACCATGCCTGCCTCATCCTCAACCCGGAGCAAACCGCTCAAGTCTTCGAAGGGTTCGTGGCAGCTACAGTTTTCCAAAAAAGCGGTTTTTTTTTGTTGTCGTCTCTTAAGCAAAGCACGCGTTGAGGTTCGGGCGGTGAGGGCAGCCGTGGTGCTGCTGTCGGAAGGCTCAGCGGGCGCAGGGAGCGGCTGGGGGCTGGGAGGACCCGCACGCTGCTCCGTCTCGGGAGAGGGGGGAGCTGTGTCTCTTGATTTCCTGCCCTCTCCCCCCTCCTGCCCCGGGCTCCCCCGCTGCCGCTGTGTCCTCTCCTCCCTGGGGCCCCAGCAGGCGCCCCGGTGATGCCAAACCTCTGCCGAGCCCGGTGGGGCGGTGGAGGCAGGGTCTGTCAGCGCGCTGCCCGGGGCACGGTGGGGTTCGCGCGGTGCCGGACGGTACGAGGTGCGTTGGAACCAACTCAGAATGGTTTTATTTTTGCAGGTTGTGCGGGGTGGTCAAACACGTCGTTAACCCCTCAGAGTGTTCCTCCCCAGAAAGGTGTATTTTAGCTTACCTCTATGATCTGTACGTGTCCTGTAGTCACCTGAGAAGCAAGTTTGGAGACCTCTTCAGGTGGGTGGTGCTGGGCTCTTTCTCACCGCTGCCTGGCTGATGCAGGCTGCTGTGCTCTCAGCCCGGTTTGCTTTCCGTGGACAAAACGCCGTGGCCGTTGCTGCTTCACCTTCGCTGACGCAATTCTCCGGCCCGTGCCGGCGCGGTCCTGAGCCGGTGACGTCCCCGCGCCGGGCAGGTGCCTGCGGTGGAGGAGCAGAGGCTGAGCCTCCTCACGGGGCTGTGCCTCCCGCACGCCGCGCTGGCGAGGGGCGCGGGGACCCTCGGCCTGGGGGCGGCTGTGCCACGCGGGCTTGGGCCCCCCCACCCTGCCCACCCTTGCTGTCACAGGTGGTGACGTGACTGATTTGGCTCTGTAGTGCCTCAGCAAACTGGCTGCGGTACAGCCAGCCTTGGATGAAAACGTAACAAAATCTTAGCTGAGGCAGCTGTAATATTCCCTTAAATATCTCCTTTGATGTGGGGAGAGGCACAAACATGTTTGAGTTTGTGAAGTTTTAAGCTCGAATGTTCAGTTCCTTGATTTTTAAATTAAAAAAATATTTTAGGTACCCAGATGCTGTATTTTTGGCCCTTACTTTTTAAAGGGGGAGTGGAAACCTTTCATATGCAAATACGCATCTTCTGAGACTTACAAACCACTTCAGTTACTGTTTCCCCTCCTAGTTTATGTACCTGGTTTTGGTTTGCGTATTTCAGATTTGTGGTTTTCATTTCATAGGGATCAGGAAAAGAGTTCTCAGTAATAATCTTAATACTTTAATAGGTTTGCAAACACATGGGAGCAGTAGCGTTTAATATGAGAAACGCTAGGAATAAGAAATGTGAAATACAGAACTACAGAAGTGTCTTAGCTGTATGTTCATTCTTCTGCTTAAAACCTAACGTTTAGTAGTACAATAAAAAATTTGTATTAATACTAACCTACAATAGCAAATCAAAACATCATCTAGTAATACAGAGATATTTAAGGTATAAAATCGTATATTAAATATGCGATATACAGCACTTGATTTGAAGCCTCTTTTTTCAGACAAGTGGTGTTAGAAATCCTCTGAAAACTGGTAATAAAATTTGTGTATAAGTTTTTTAAACAACTGCATATAAAGTAATAGTGCTACACTTGTTTTCTTCTTGGTTTCTTGTTACAGCTGAAACAAAACCAAAACCAGCTGTCTCTACACGGCAACTTTTTTAGCTCCTTTTGTGCATGCTCTAACTCTAGCTATTTGTGTCCCTCTAAGTCAGTTTGAAGCGACAACGAAGTACAGTTCATAAATGTTCAAATTTAGTGACTTACCTTCTGTATATTGCAACGGTTCGCAAATGGCTTCTGGTACCATCTGCAGCATTTCTCATGACCGAATGAGCTGCATGCTTTGCTTTAGAGTGCTTGCTATAGTCAGTTGCATTCACTAAACTTCCTTTTTTAAAATCATTCCTTCACTTTTTTTTTTTTTTTTTTTTTTTTTTTTTGGTAAATGTTATCTTCTGACCACTCCCCCAGCTTTACTTCTTGTTTATGTGCAGTGTCAGAGGCTGCTTTGCTGGCGTGCTGGGGGCTGTGTGGCTGGGGTTTTGGGCCCCTGTGACCGGTGGGGTCTGGGGGGGTGGCGGCTGGGATGGCAGACGCCGGGGAGGTCCGCGCGCCCGCGAGGCGGCTGGCACCGGCCCTGCCGTTGGCACCGCGGAGCGCTTGCTTCCCACTGCTTGGCTTTCTTTGTTTGCTGCCACACTGGCCGCTGGAGCAGAGGGTTCACGTCAGGCAGGGCCCTTTTGGAAGATCAGTTTTCCTGCTCTTGCTCCGGCACCGGCGCATCCCCCGCGCGCGGGGGCGGGGGGTCCCCAGGGCCGCCCTCCAAGCCCCGCGCCCCGTCCCGCTCCGTCCCCGCCTCACCCGCGCCGTCCAGGCAGCACCGTGCTCCCTCCGACTTCTCCTCTCGGGGCCAGTGGGGTTCTAAAAAATTCCAAAGGTTTCACGTATTTTAAGTTAATTTCAATTAGCGGATTTTTTTCAGTCATGAGGACGTCTTCCCAGTTGGGATAATTAGGGAAGTTTGGCTGGGTGGGTGCTGGTGTAAAACGCAATGCTCAGGACAGACGCTCCCGAGAACATTTTATGGGTGAAATTTGCATTCTTCACTAACACCTTTTTTTTTTCCCTGTGAAGAAAGCCAGTTAACATGTAGGTATTCCTAGCCTGGAACATTTCTTGACATTTTATTGTATTTATTAATGTCAAAATATGACCGTTAAGTGTCTTTTCTCTGTCTACTGTTTTCGTCTTTCAAAAAGTTGTCCGTTATATCACATTGTTACCAAACGTAGAATTTTTAACTTAGATAAATTTTCTCATTTTTCTGTAATTAGTTCTTCTTACCACCACTGCAGTTCTCTGGGTCATAACACATAAAGAGGGGGAGCAGCGTTACGAAGCGCTGTTGCAGTTTGCTGCAGAGGCACCTGATGCTCCAGGAAGGAGTTGATCGCTAGCGAGGAATGAGCGTGCGGCCCCTAGCCAGCCGCTCGCACTTTCAGTCACAGAAATGTCATAGAGGCGATTTGGAAACTTGAGACTTGCTTTGCAGAAAAACTTGAGTGAAACGGATGTATCAGCCTTATTTTCTGGTAGATGCTCCTTACCAGAAATGAGTTTGAAAATGTGTAGTGTGGTAACCAAAGTAGAATTTTCTAATCTCACGTGGTATGTTCAACAGTATTTCTGCAAAAGTACATTTTATGGCAACTGCCTCTTTTTTTTTTTTTTTTTTTTTTTTTTTTGGTCCTCAGTAGTGCCTGTTCTAAGGTGAAGCAAACAATATACAGCAATGTTCAGCCTTCAAATTCCAATTTACTGTGGGACCCAGAGTTCATGCTAGATTTTATTGAGAATCCTTCTGCTCACAGCATTAATTACTCAATGCTGGGCAAGATCCTGAGCGATAACGCGGCCAACCGCTACAGCTTCGTCTGCAATGCGCTAATGAACGTGTGCATGGGGCACCAAGACGCAGGAAGGTAAGGCAAACCGTGCTGGAATCCGGCCTGGGTGGATTTTTACGTGGCATAAATGAGGTTTCCTTTGTTTTGTGTCTTTTTTGCAATTGTTTTCATTCATTACTACTTCTGGTTGCTGAAGATCTGTTGAATAAGTTTCCTCTGAGTTACTTCATGAAATCAGTCTGCATAATTTAACGGTAGGGAGGAACAAGTAGAAAGTACTCACTGCAGTAAGCTTTTTGTATCAGCAGTTGTGCCCTTCCCGACAGAGCAGCTCAGCACAATCTTTGCTCATTAGAAGCCTGTAAATGAGTGAAGGTTCTGCGTTAGGTCATTTCCTTCTTCTGATGCAATCGGTGTTTAATTTATTAACTACGTCATTTATTTATTATGGATATCATCTTTGTAGGTAATATGTAGGTTTTCCAAAAGTATTTTTTTTTTTTAAAGCATGAAGGGTTTTATCGGACAGAAGCTACTGGAGGTGTAACAGCTGTCAGTCACGTTTCGGGGGCAGCGGGGGCCTCACGCTGCGCGCTGGGGGCCGATGGCCCAGCACCAGCCTTGGGACGAGACCTGTGCTGCTGCGGGTCCTCCAGCACTGCCCGACCTTCCGACACCAGCAGGTCCTGGCTCCCGTCCCAGGCCGGTGGGGCTTTGCTCTGATCCGGCGCGACACTTCCTGGGTCCTAAGCCCACGTTAGGTCTTTTCAGACAATCTCAAGTCACTGACAAGAAGTGTAGTGAAGAACCCTTGCAGCAAAGCAACACCCGTGCCAGGGTTTCACGCTGACAGTGTGTTTTCTTTCATCATTCAGATGTTCTTCTATCAGTTGCTTCCTCCTTCCAGTGTGTAAGCACATAAACTCAGCCTTCTTGTGCAAATGGGGCACTGCAGGGTTGAAACTGTTTCACTCTGGTTTTCCATTCTGCAGAGTCTGTGGTGCAGGGTGAAGCGGACACCGATTTTGGGATCTAGCCTTTACCCCTGCCCCCAGCACCTTTATTGCTCTTACACACTAAAACCCACCAGAATTTAGTGTTCTTCTCTGATTCTGTTCTAAATTTTATTAAGAAATTCTTGGTCTTGATGGTTAGGCCTAGGTGCAGCAGTAGCTGACTGTTTTTTAAGGTTGCTAAACAGATCACAAAACTCAAGGAAATTGTGGATTGGTTTTTTTTTCTTCTTTTCTGATTGACTCCTGCCCAAAGTGTGCAGTTCCTTCACCCTGTCCCCAGTATGGAGCCATCTCTGAAATGTCCAGAGCAGGGCCAGAGGAGGCCACGGAGATGCTGGCGGGGCTGGAGCAGCTCCCCTGGGGGGCCGGGCTGAGAGAGTTGGGGGGGTTCAGCCTGGAGAAGAGAAGGCTCCGGGGGGACCTTCGAGCGGCCTCCCAGGGCTTAAAGGGGGGACAGGAGAGGTGGGGGGGGACTCTGGATCAGGGGGTGTGGGGATGGGATGAGGGGTGACGATTTTACACTGAAAGAGGGCAGATTTAGATGAGATCTAAGGCAGAAATTGTTCCCTGTGCGGGGGGGGAGGCGCTGGCCCCGGGTGCCCAGAGCAGCTGTGGGTGCCCCCTCCCTGGAAGGGTTCAAGGCCAGGTTGGACGGGGCTGGGAGCCCCCTGGGCTGGGGGAAGGGGGCCCTGCCCGGGGCCGGGGGGGGCACTGGGGGGGATTTGAGGTCCCTCCACACCCAACCCATTCTAGGATTCTGTGATTCTGCGATTCTGTGAACTGTGGGGCATCCTTGGCAGAGCAGAGCAGCTGAGAGGAAGCAGTTTTGTAAGAGCAGCAAAGGGGAACATCTAAATGTGGCCAAACGAGTTTCACTGTGGAACAGAGAAAAAATAACTTGCACTGGCATGAGTCAACCCTGCTCTGTTTTTTAAGATGTTACATAACTCTGAATCACGCACCAAATCACACGTTACACAGTGTGTCACCTGTGAAGTAAAATCCATCGATGCCGATTGATCTCGTGGCTCTCCTCCCTCCTCACCAGCAATGCTGGCCG